TGTCACTGAGAGCATGTTAGCATGTTGACATTGGCATTTATCCCACTGCTGTGCCAGTGGGATAAATGTACAGCTCCAAAGAGCTGCTAGCGTCGCTGTAGACCCTTACTGTCCTGGGTGTGGTCTGAACTGTTTTTTTATACTGAGTCATCCATTCCCTTTTGTTACTGCCTCCAGCTCATGTTGTTGATACACTTGTTTGCCAATCTCCTCCTCTTTCCCCATAAGCACCAGCTAGACTCCATCGGGATAGAGAAGATAACAGGGCAAATCGGTTTCTATACGGTTATCTTGTTCTCCTGATAGTCGATGGAAAACACAACACTGAGTCTACTGTATGCCAAATTCAGAAGCATTTCCTTTATATTCATAAATAACGCTTTGAAACTATGAAGTAGTCTGACTGACCGAACAGCATTTTCTCAGTATACAGTAGTATACAGTGGCTATACATTATATACATCTAATAATCCTGTACACAGTTTTTAGGCCAGTAAGCACAACAACTGTAATGTTCAGGGAGTACAGGAGCAGCTGGCTGGAACTACTGTACACAAAACAAATTGATCTGATTGGTTAAATGATAAAGCAGGGAGTGCCTTGAATTCATTTCAAGTGGAGTACACATGAAATATCAAATCTTGTTCAGATGTTAGTTAAAGCCACCAGTGTCAGAAAAAAAAGGGGGGGGGGGGATCAAATAACAGCAATAACGTGCCTTACTGCAGACTCTATTGGAGAAAAAAGACTCTTGACACTTCATCCGCAACAAGAAAATACAGCAAGTTGCTTCTCTTGATCTGCTTGGCCTTGAGTCCTGCTTCCCCAGCCTGCTGCTGACGCTATTACAGATGGAAAGACCTTGGGATGGAAATACATTTACTCATATGTGCTTTTCTTGCAGTGAAGAGCTGGAGGTGGTTGAGATGTACGGCAGAGTAGGTAAAATGACCATAAAATTCTATTACCAAATCAAACCGCACTCTTAAGGAAATGTCTCCTGTCTGGGCGTCTCTCCAAAACAATACCTTCAAGTGCTTGACTACAATAAATTGAGGGAAAGAGCTGCAATGAATTTTCCCTTTGTTGACCTTTAAGTGTATTCAGAGAGCCTCTTTCTGCTTTATCACAGACAGGAACATGTTCAGATGAAAATGCACATTGCATTGTGTTTTAAAAATAAAGAGGATTCTGTAGAGGAGGATTATTATAAAACAGATTAAGGTTCTTTTGTTAATCCTGTAATACAAAGAAAAGGAAGTTACATCCAGACACTCCATCATCATTGTCATCTTAACTCTTCCACTAACTTCTCCTGTTGTCAAGGTCAGGGTGGTTTTCTGACTTTAATTTATTTCCTGGGTAGGTTTGCTGAGTCTGCAACCTCATATTTAGGCATCCCCCTGCTTCAGCCCATTTATACCAGTTCGCTCGTATTCAGCCTGGAGCTGCCAAGCACAACTTAATGTTGAGGCCCCACTGTGAAAGCATCTGATGCCACAGATTGTTATAAAGCTTTAAGTGCTTTAAAACAAAGCATCAAGTTCACTGGGGTATTAACTTTGCTCCACCGTAACTGCTGGTCCCTTGGCTGATACTTAGACAGGTTTTGAATGGTACAAAGAAAGGTAGAGGTCGAGGCACCCAGCTCCAGATGACAGAGCCCTTACCCACCAAACAAAAGACTTTCCAAAATATATTTTATCTACATTGTGTCTCAGGTCACAGAGGTCATTGCTTCCTACTAACAAAATTAATTTGTGACATTTTCAAAGAGATAAATGTCCTTTTTGCTCATGTCTTACAGTGACATACTGTATAACATGGTAGTGATTCAAACTATACCAAGTTCATGAAAGAGAAAACAAGCATACCTGTCATTTACAGGAATAGTTTGACATTTTGAGAATTATGCTTGCATCTGTTATTTGCGTGGGTGAGGGTAGGATTCAAGGATAATTTAAATGGAAATTGGGTCATTGAAATGATGTAAAAACGTTTTCTGATATAACTAGTGACTATTTCTAATAGAGCTGCACAATAATATAATATAAGTATTATCAAAATCATAATATGGCCAAGTGCAATATCCAAATCGCAGAAGCTGCAATATTTTGATAAAGAAAAAATGTGTGACAAACAGCATTATAATGAAGTACTGTAGATATGGATACATGCATGTTTGTTTGGTAGAGACCTCAACAAAGGTCACATCATCGTGATTTGCATAGTTTTTTCAGTGAAAATGAAAATTGGGATGCAAAAAAAAAAAAGATAATTCCCTGGGCTTCCATAGGAAAGCTACCTAACTTTGGCATATTTTACTGTACACTGATAATAACTGCACAATGGCAGTTTTCACATTGTACAACAAGATGCATTGCATTGTAGGGTTGTTAGCACAAAGTTGTGTGCATGACATGACATGCTTTTTTTTTATGCCTAGATTACGAACACTCAAATAAAATGGCGGAAAATGAACACAGTGTACTATATAGAGAGTTATTTCAGATAGCTGTGTCCTGGCACATAACCTCCCATTAAAACATGCATACACGTTTGCACAGTGAAGACATACCTTGACAGCCACCAGCATCTTGTCCTTGGTGGGGCTGAGGTTGTAACACTCTGCCAGGAAGACTTTACCGAACGCTCCCTCACCCAGTTCCCTTTTCAGGATGATGTCTCTCCGCTTTATATGCTGGACAACTAAACCACAGAAAAGCAGGGAGAGAAAAGGGGGAGAAGGAAAAAGTGATGAATATTTTTTTTCAGATATTGAGCTTTAGAACATTTTTATTGTATAGAAAACAAATATCTTGTTTGTCTTTATCTGTAAAACCTAGGAAGGAACAAATGAGAGAGAGAGAGAGAGAGAGAGAGAGAAAGATACAGTGTACTGGAACCTGTATGCGCTGCACTGTGGCTGCAGCTACTTTGTACTATTTAAAATTCTAGTCAAGATCTCAAGTTTCTCTAGATACACATATGTCATGAATTAAGGAACTGTGTGCAAAATGATGCACAAGACATCCTGAAGTCTTGAATATTTTAATATTCCTCTTCATATAAGTATGATACAGCTTCAGTGAAGTGCTAAATATATGTGATATTGTCAAAATGTAAAAAATGTTTTATCTAACTTTGAAGCTACTCTAAAGAGAATACTATGAACATTAGGGTTGAAGTGTTTTTAAATCTGAAAAGCGCAAATAAACCTGGCATTGGACCTGCTGAGCTGCAAATCTCTTATCTGGATTCCTTGGTTTTACTGTTGCCATTGAAACAATACAGAGGGACATTTTATAATGAGAACACAATTGCTAAATGTCTGTTTCTCAGAAAAATAAAACAACTAGCTGAGCAGAGTGAGAAAAACAATTCCTCTTTCTTTCTCTATACTTCGTATTCTAGTTTTCCAGATTACTCACTTTAACATCTATTTTGCGTATTGTGACCTTCACCCTTTCCCCCTCAATTCTTGTTAGTGCTTGTAATGTCTGTGACCACAGAATTGAACATAATTTTTCTAATTAGCCTAACAAAAGTGGTGAATTTTGCAAACTGACAACACTCATGAAAGGCAGAATGTGTGAGAAAGACACAAGAGAGAGCGATACAGCAAAAAAGAGGACTAGTGAGACATAAAGTATGAAAACTTGTAGGTATCAGGGCTAACATTTTACCCCCTGATACCTGCCAGGCTCAGTATGAAGTATGAGTAGGGGAGGTGTAGGAGTTGTTGGCTCCAGAACAGAACTGCTCCTCATGCCTCATTCTGAATAAAACATGACATCTTGTCTTCTATCAATGCGCGCACACACACACTTGTGTGTATTTATACATAGTTTCCAAAAAACAACACATTTAGATACATATTAGACGATTGCTTTTCACCACAATCAGCTTGGACGTCATATAGCTGGAGCTGCACAGAGTAGCTCTCTCTGTTTTTTAAAAATGAATGAACTGAAGTGAGCATGTTTAACGGACTCATAGGTGAAGGGCCAAAAAAAGCTATTAAATATTAAATCAAATCACAAATCAGAAATGAAACCTTAACCTTAAGAATTCAATTACATTCTAATGGTTGTAATCACTGTCCAATGTTTGTCTAACAAAAGTTATTATGTTATTTTTTTATGCCACCACAGACTATTCAGTTTATATTTATTTAACGCAAAGGTGTACCAGAGTCCTGTCCACAGACCTTACAATTAGTTATTCAAGGTCCACTGTGTAACATTTA